GTTGACTGTTTTGGCCAGTTTTGGCCAGAGTCGGAGTTGAAGTCTTCGAAAATGTTCGGATTTTGACTTCGAGGTCGGATTGGTGTAAAGTCATGCTCTTGGCTGGTTAGACGAAATATATTAGGCCAGTGTTCGGCCAGTCGTGTTATACGACACACGTTGATCACGATATCAAAAATCGGCAGTTCCGCGATGACAGGTCGGATAAGAGTTGGAGATTTTGTTGGCCGAGGTGGCAGGGGTCAGACCAATGCATGTAGGCCCACAACCCGTATACTGAGTATCTAAACCTCCTCGACCCTCTCAGATTCGGCACCGGCCGTTCCATCTCTTCCATCCTCAGAACAGTCAAATCCTTCTCCTCCACGCCGCAACCCACTGCTCCGGGCTGGACGGGCAACTCTATCTCATGCAGGAATGGCTCCACTGGAGCTATTAGTCCTTTGCCGGGTGCAGTGAGTGCCAGTGGGCTGGGCTGCCTGTTAAATTGGTCGGGTTCATCCCAAGTGGCTCACTGGGGTAGTTGCCCCGACCAATGTCTCCCACTAATTCTTTCATACTTGCGGCTCTGAAATGGTCTCATTGGACCGAAGGGCCTTATCAAATTTCGAGTAGGATAACAACCAGTAAAACGCCTTTTGGGGCGACCAACGGAGCGAGCGTGAGGGTGGGGTGGGCCTTGCACGTGCGAAATTGCGAGGGGATACCTCCAACTAACTTGTGCACTGCACCCTTCTAACCGGTCCTTAACGATGTGCCAAATTTGAGCGCAATCGGCCTTGCCGTTCTCGAGATCTGGAAGCGGCACCCTGCACGTGCGCACGTGCAAAATGGGTCCCAACTGACTTTTGCACGGCACCCTACTAACCGGTCCCTAACCATGTATCAGATTTCAGCACAATCGGTTCAGCCGTTCTCGAGATCTGGAATCGACCCCTGCATGTGCGCACGTGCAGCAGCACCCCAACTGTGGCACATGGATATGCATTGCCTATAGTGGGTACCTATACCTATCTACATGCCAACTTTCAGCGCAAACGGCCCAGTAGTTGCCGAGATATTGAAATTGTTACAAAACTGACACTTCTTCGTTTTTCACGTGGCACGTGCATATGGGGTCACTCACATGCATCGGGAATAGTCCAATGCTCGTTAGAAAGAAGGAATCTAGTGCTACCCTACAAAAATTACCGCAGTAAATCGGTCAAGTGGTTGCTGAGATATAAGCCTAGCAAAAGCGTGACCACAGCATACTCAGAAATTTCCGTTAACCTACGAAAGACTACGCTCGCTTCGCTCGCTCCGTAATGAGTTTGGGGGGGACGTCCCCCTTCCATTCTGAGAGTGGGGGGACGCGTCCCCCCCGTCCCCCCCCCCCCCCGGTGGCGGCGCCCATGGAAGCACGAAAGATCTCTTTTTAGAAGTGTCCAATCGTCCGATCCTGATCAAATTTGTGTGTTCGTAAGCTTGCTCTGTCATTGCTTGATCTGCCAAGACAGACAAACTTAAGAAAAATCGAGTGACTGTACCTTTTTTGAAGGTTTCTAAACAACTTGTCTGAACTTCACGGGAGAACAAATGTGGGGTTTAAAAAAAGGTGTCGATATATTTAAGAGTTAAATAAGGTACTCGTGTAGGGGAGAGTGGGGTAATTTGGCCGGTGGTGTAAATTGGCCGCCCCCACCTGTACGATGTCTAATAAAAGTGAGTGAAATAACTCTAGTCTCTATTCATTTGTTATGGGTAGAAATAACTGGAGGACAAATGTCAAAACTTTGCCCCTCGTAGTTTTATTCAAAATTAATAAAACGTTAATTTCATTAGAAAATGGTAACTTTTACTTCTGTTTACAAAGTTGTATAACATGTAGTATTTGGGCTAAAAACGAATTAAGACATTATAGCGCCATTCTTGGGGGTGTTCAGCGGTTCCAAGAGCAATTTCATCTAATTCCGTATAGCCATGATGACTTTATACACAAAAATGTTCAGAATGGCAATATGGGGTAATTTGGCCGGGACTAGCGGGGCAACTTGGCCGGTGCGCTCATGGTCACTATGCTGGGACGGCCGAGTTTTCATGGTCAATTGTACCATAAATGACATGATTCATGACCAACTTTGACTACTTTGATGCCTTACTTCCGATTGGTCAACTGTCAGAGCATGTGACGTCATCAAAGGTTACCAAACGTTTTTTGCTAATAAATCCTTACATAAAAATGGTACAGCCGCACAAATGGTCTCATTCTGTTCAGCTCGCCAAGGCGCATCGAATGATATGCATGATGACCTTGAGCTCACGTGACCTTCAGGTCAAGCGACCTGAGGTAACGTGACCTGAGGTCAACCTTTGACCTTGACTTCTCGAGGTCAACACATATATGTTTCGATGCGGAATGACGAGAGAATTACGACGTTACTCGAAGTTTTGGCCTAGCTTGATTACTTCAAAAGTTATTCGTAAAAAACTGTCTTCGCATCTAGAGCCGCTAATTTGGCTATTTTGACCCCTTTGACCCCATGAGTCAACCTCCAAAGTGTGGTAAATGCGTCAAAGGACACACGTCATTGCTGAATCTGAAGCTGACTCGCAATATAACAGAAAATCCCGACCGCAAACTAACACCGGCCAAATTGCCCCACAACCCCGGCCAAATAACCCTGCTAGTGGGGCAATTTGGCCGCCTTGCAGACCTTTGTAATACGTCACAATTTCAATATAAGTAATTACTCTATCATTTCAAGTTCACTGTCCAGTACAGTAAAATGAATGCTACACCTGCCAGCGTTGAGAAAATGCAGAAATGTGTCGTCAATTTTAAGTTACATCGTTTTCTAAAAAAAGCGGCCAAATTACCCCACTCTCCCCTACATTTAGTGAACGGCAGCTCAGGCTGTTGAAACAATAATACATGTTTTGGCTAAGGCCCACCTGGGTATCAACTGCCGATAACCTGCTCTTGCGTTCGTTCATCGAATGATACTTTCACAACCAGCTTATCTCAACACAAAACGTTGAAAATAAGATAAAACACAAGTCAACATAATGCCAGTCTTCAGCACTATTATGCACGCTGACAAGTGAAAAAAAAAATAAGTGGTATAAACGGCTAGCGGCTGACACCGTGAACAGGCTTATGAAAGACCTCGTCAGTCGTCATTTTTTTAGGCTGCCTGTGGCATGTGAGGGCAAGTAAAATAAGCAACAACAATGCAAACGTATTATTAGCCGCGTTTACATAGGGCTAGTTGCCAGATAGTGGAATTCCACTAACGAGACATTTTTTCCACTAACGAGACATTTCAGGCACCTTCAGATAATTCTGACGACCTATCCGGCCAGAAGGACCAAACCGATTGACAAAAATAAATACATCGTGGCGGATGAACACTAAAGAGGTACTTCAGGCCTAGACATAGTATAGATGTCGCAACTCGCGGCCTCCCCGGCAGTAAGGGCGAGGTATAGATGACGCTACTGCAGCAAGTCACTGGGACGTTGCGAGTCGTGGAATGGAACGGAAGATACGGAACGGGGGCTTCTTAACGCCTAACGGAAGCTTATTCGTTTTATGTTCATTTAAGAATTGATTTCGTGCGCTAGAGAAAGAACATTGTGTTCTTTTTTCATACGTCTGCACCCCCCCCCCCCTGTCCCTTCCATCCTTTGGATCAGCCAGTGTGCAGCAAGAGGGTTCATCGGAGAAAAACAACAAAGAGCAATCCTCCCTGAGCCTGTCAGGTCAGAAATAACCTGAGCATAGGGCATAGGCGGCGGAACGGGGAGGGCACCGGGGCACCGTGCCCCCTTTGATTTTGGCATTTTAACATTGTCCTATGGGCGCTGCATGGAAAGAATGGGACCAAAAGTCGGCGGTGCCCCCCCCCCCCCCTTAAATGAAGGTGCTCCGTGGCTACTGAACCTGAGGACCGTTCGTTATGCCCTACTGCCCACGCCGTTCTTAAAATTTCAGTAGTAGTCAGTTATCTGGCCAATGTTTCCGTATAGGGGTTGGCAAACACAACTGAGCCTCCTGAGTGGGATGAGTACTGGACACAGAAGTGGACAATCTGTTGGCAAGAAGCCCGCAAGGATAATATCTCGAAACTCAGGACTACGTATACAAACATATATGGTTTGTATACGTAGCAAACTACGTATACAAACACTTTAAATGCATCTAAATCTATACTATAATCGAAAGCCGGCAGCCGCATTGTTGTGAACTACCGGCACATCACCATCAAGAACGGAAGTCCGACCTACAGCAAGCACGACAGTCCGATCGTAGATGTATTGAAAAATAACTAGCAACTTTAAACATCGCCTTCCTCAGCCACGCTCTACACCACATCACATAAGAAAACCGCCAATATCTATTACAAAACACACATAAAGGAATTTCGTAGGTATAGATCAGAGGATTACTTCACCTCCTTTATCTGGCGCGTCAATAGGTATAAAGTAATCTTTGGCGTCTACGCACTAGCAACATCTATAATGCAAACAGCAGTTCAGAAACCATCCACTAAAATTGTAACAAGGCAAGGGTTGGTCAAAATAAATCATAGTCACCGTGATGAATAGCAAACGAAATACAGAACAAGCACAACAAAGCATTCCACACTCGTTTAGACTGTACCTACAATATGCCTACATAAGACATTGCAGCAGTGTACAAGGAAAACATTCTTTAAAGATGCTAACGTGGGGAGTTTTAAAAGTTTGGTGAACATAGTTACGAGTCACTGCACAAGAAATGTCGCGGTCGCCAGCCGCCCCAGGCGAAAGAGTCGACGGAGACGGCGTCAAACAAACCCGAGAGGGGGTAGTTTCATCCGCATCAGCGGAGGCGCTCTCTCTACCAAGGTCGTCAGTTACCAGCCGCAGCACCCTGCTGGCGATTTGATAGCTGCTCTCATTCTCAGCTGGCTGAGCGCCATGTGCCGGGTCATCCGGCTCCATGATTTCCCCTTTCATTAGCAGCTGCTGTTGTAGTTATTGTTGTTGCGTTCCTTTCAGCCGCTGCCGCAGCATAGCCGTACGGTTCTGGATGGTTCTCACGGCGGCAGCCAGGGTCACCAAATCCGTCTCCCCGTAGCCACACCAGACTCGGGAAAATGTACCGAGATGTACCGAGCCAATGTTGCAGCACTCGCGGCATTCATCGGTAGGACTCCGCCCAACCCCGTAGACCCCAGCTACTTCGCTGCAGGTTCTCGCGTCTGCCGACCCGTCCGTCCACACCCACGCGGCTCGATAGGGGAGGGGAGGGCAGATATCGTTACGTCGCTTGAAGCAGTTCAGCTGCCGAGGCTCTTTGTCGCAACGCCGCCAGCGCCGCGCATCGCAGCAGCACATACCGTGGAGTGCCAGCCTCTCCGCGGCAGACGCGGCATCGGGCAGCAGGGCACTCCACGTCGTTGCATTGTGGGAATCCGGCCTCGGGAGGCGGCCGATGCAGAGCAGGTACTGGCAGATGTCGATAACGACTGCACGGTCGGCCTCCAGGACGGAGCCAGGACAGCGGTCGACCCATATCGACCGGTACCATCCGTCCGGCCAGCTCCGCTGCCAGGCGCGCGCAGCGTCGCGCGCGCGCCTGCCGTGGCGCGCCTGTCGCGCGCGCGCGCGCCTGCCTTGGAGGTAGCGCCCACGTCGATCGGCGCTACCGTTGGGATAGACGGCGGTCGACCCATATCGACCGGTACCATCCGTCCGGCCAGCTCCTCCAACACCGCTCTTAGGGCGAATAGCTCGCCGCGCGTGCTAGAGCAGAGGGCGCCTGCCGCGACACGCACCTCTCGGATGTCGCAGTTCGGGGGGGGGTGGCCCCTCCTCCTCCATCTAGCACACCATCGGTGGCGGAGCTGTCTGACCAGATCAAGCTCGCCTCAGACGGGAGCTCCGCCAGACGACTTTCCGCCGCCTTGGCTCGCCAGCCGTCGCGCCCAAACTCGCTTCAGGCCGTGAGTCTATAGCCGGCGCGGTGGCGTGGCTTCGCCATGGTAGCCTTGGGCGGGTTGTCCTCAGAGAACGCGTTCGCATTGGCGAGGAGGCGAGCAGCGCCACGAGTCCTGAAATGACCAAACAACATCAACAGACAATCAAAATTGTGAAAATCGGCATTAACTGCGCAATTGATGTTTGCTTGTTTGTTTATAAGGGTTTACGGGCGCTGCGGTGGTCATTTTGCACCCATGACGCTGTTCTGGTGAACCTGCGCAACTGAGCAGTGATCATGCCATAAGTTATGTTTGGTGTAGTGGCAGGGTTCCACCTAAAATTTCGGCGCACGTCAGGTGTAACGTCACATGCGACAAATTCAGCGCATGTCAGTTGGGAAAACTAAGGCTACTGGAATAATATAAAACGAGGGCACCAAAAATTGATCCTAAATGACCATACTTGGACATTAATGCAGACCCTTTCTGTATCACCAATTGTCAGAAAACAAGCAGGTGTTTCAAGGAGCGTTAGAGAGTCATGAAGCCAGGATAAAACACAGTGCTATTTTCTCAAAACAGTTTTTACATGATAGAGTTAGGTAACTCTCTCTCTCTCTCTCTCTCTCTCTCTCTCTCTCTCTCTCTCTCTCTCTCTCTCTCTCTCTCTCTCTCTCTCTCTCTCTCTCTCTCTCTCTCTCTCTCTCTCTCTCTCTCTCTCTCTCTCTCTCTCTCTCTCTCTCTCTCTCTCTCTCTCTCTCTCTCTCTCTCTCTCTCTCTCTCTCTCTCTCTCTCTCTCTCTCTCTCTCTCTCTCTCTCTCTCTCTCTCTCTCTCTCTCTCTCTCTCTCTCTCTCTCTCTCTCTCTCTCTCTCTCTCTCTCTCTCTCTCTCTCTCTCTCTCTCTCTCTCTCTCTCTCTCTCTCTCTCTCTCTCTCTCTCTCTCTCTCTCTCTCTCTCTCTCTCTCTCTCTCTCTCTCTCTCTCTCTCTCTCTCTCTCTCTCTCTCTCTCTCTCTCTCTCTCTCTCTCTCTCTCTCTCTCTCTCTCTCTCTCTCTCTCTCTCTCTCTCTCTCTCTCTCTCTCTCTCTCTCTCTCTCTCTCTCTCTCTCTCTCTCTCTCTCTCTCTCTCTCTCTCTCTCTCTCTCTCTCTCTCTCTCTCTCTCTCTCTCTCTCTCTCTCTCTCTCTCTCTCTCTCTCTCTCTCTCTCTCTCTCTCTCTCTCTCTCTCTCTCTCTCTCTCTCTCTCTCTCTCTCTCTCTCTCTCTCTCTCTCTCTCTCTCTCTCTCTCTCTCTCTCTCTCTCTCTCTCTCTCTCTCTCTCTCTCTCTCTCTCTCTCTCTCTCTCTCTCTCTCTCTCTCTCTCTCTCTCTCTCTCTCTCTCTCTCTCTCTCTCTCTCTCTCTCTCTCTCTCTCTCTCTCTCTCTCTCTCTCTCTCTCTCTCTCTCTCTCTCTCTCTCTCTCTCTCTCTCTCTCTCTCTCTCTCTCTCTCTCTCTCTCTCTCTCTCTCTCTCTCTCTCTCTCTCTCTCTCTCTCTCTCTCTCTCTCTCTCTCTCTCTCTCTCTCTCTCTCTCTCTCTCTCTCTCTCTCTCTCTCTCTCTCTCTCTCTCTCTCTCTCTCTCTCTCTCCGTTTACCATTCGCAAGGCCAAAAAGGCCAATTGGCTTTGAAAGGCATTGGATTACAAGCTGAGCATTTCTTACTTCATCATAAACTGTTAAACCTGCGTGTAGATGAAGTCTGAATGGTGGTTTGTAGGCCGATAGGATAGGTTGGAGGTTGAAGGTTAGTAGGGAAGGTAAGGTGAGGATAATTTCTGCTTTTTATTTTCATTGGACTTCAGTCTTCATGAACACACGCATCAAAAATATCATCTATTTGAGCATCTTCAAGCCTCAAACCACAACAAATTAAAAATTGACGTCATGCCAATATATGGTCATGATTTTTACCACCAGAATTGAATAAATGCCTATTGATGCCTTTCCTAATATTTTGATGCCTGAAATCTGATTAACAAGCATTTTTCTTGTGTTGGCAGTCTAAAATTTGGCTGGCTTGAGCACGATGCTACCTTGACCTATTGCTCTAGCAGAATCTCAAACAGATGTCTACCAAGTGCCACTCCCAAGAAAGTTTTCCAACTTCCAAGATTCTAAAACAACAAACTTTGTTGATGCCTCATCGTGTGATGGTAAATCAAATGATAGCACTCCATCTGAGGCCAGTTTTACAAACAGAAAATAGCCACCTGCCGGATTTTTTTTTTTTTGCCTAAAGGCTAATTCACATATGGAGCGTACCTAAATGGTGAAGCCCTCCCTGCTTATATGCCGATCGTGTTTACTCTCTGTATGTTGTACCTACCTGGAATGGATATATAAGGAGAAAAATTCCAGGCAGCTATTTTTGTTGGTAAATCGAGTAAAGTAAAACTGGCCTCTGAACGAAAATTTGGACTAAGTGAGATCTGTCGGCTCTTTGGTCATTGGTGGGTTGGATAGGAGTTGATGATTTTAATTGAAAGATTAAAAGGAAAGGGTTTCAAGACAAACGGCATGACAAACCAACACCTTACCTGCAGTTCAAGTTTGTCGATTTCTTCATCAGAATCTAGTCTGTCTAGTCCACAGATCAAGATAAAATTACTGGATAGGTACAACTTCTTCTTCTTCTTCTTCTGCACCTCACCCGCCGCCTCCTACACTCCTCCATTATTCTGATAAATACATTTACATAATTTTCACAAGAATGCCACTCCACGGGGTAGATCTAAAAAAGTACAGGGATTAAATTTTGAGCTATAGAGCTCTCAGTGATTTTGAGACACCCAATATGTCTTCGGCACGCCGCATTTGTCTCTCACTGCCTGCGAATTCGGCGATATGATTGGTCGAAGGCCGAGGCTATGGGTCCAAGAAAAGGCCAAGATTCCTGCCAAGATTCTTACAGATAGCCAAGGCCGATGACTGACGTGACTGACGGCATGTTACTGCCCTTGGCATACTGCCAATGCACTGCTCGGTCATATCGGCAGTAATGTCAACAGTCATATCGGAAGTAATATGGTAGCTAAACGCAAAAACCATTTGGCGTATAGCTACCATATTTTTCCGATAACGAGACATTCTAGATCAATTTCTCTACTGTTGGCGACATCTGCTGAGAAATCCCAAGACCGAACGCAAGCACATAAAAGTAATGCACTCTAAGGATGCGTTCGAAATCTGGGAAGTGACGGATTTCATTCCTCAATGCCTGTCCCAGCCTAATCCCCATGCTGTTCGTTCCGCCATCTATTGCCATGTTTTGCATTCGCACTTCATGAATTGACCACCCCGCCAAGAAGGTTGGTATCAAGTTGGTATAGGTGTCGCATTGCTCTGGTCGATCAGGCTGACCGCTGAGCCAACTGTCTGGAGAGTGGAGCCGATCCAAAAAACGCAGAAATTCAAAAGACCGACTCCAAAGCAATGGCAGCATTCATATCAAAAGAGCGTCATTCTGTCATGATTGCGTCAGAAGCAAACATAATGCAAGAGTTTCTTGTGTGTCGGTAGGCGCGTGTGGAGCCGCTGGACCGACCGGGGACGTACCCAAGGGGGGACGGACGGGGTGCGCCTCCCCCTAGGGGTTTTCAAGGCCCATGCTGGCAGAAGGCCCACGTTGGCCAAAACCACGTCTGACGTCGGAGACGAACGAAATTCATGGGAATCCCCCAAAAATCACGTCAGGACAATCATGGCTCTCCGACTCGCCTGCCACCTAGGGTCCTTCAATTTACTACATGGGGCCTCCTGTGAATAGCCGCTAGTGTCTGTGTCTGACCACTAGGGCCCCTCTGACTCCTCGGGTAGAGGGCCCTCTGTAGGTAGGAGGCTCTCTCTACGGGATTCCTCCGCTACCCTCCCCCGCCCTCGGCCAAATTCTAGGTTATACGTGACTGCGCTAAGCCGGGGTCGGAGAGAGGAGTTGACGACCGAATGACAAGGAGTACTCGTCCTGAATGTAAACATTTGGAATACAAACAATCCAAAGCTGTTCAGTATTTATATCATTCGAGAGCAGTGCCTTCAATTTGGATACACTTAGCATTCATTTCCCACACCCGTGTACACTCCACGAAGGCTTCTCCGCTGCGGACTCCCGCTTCCGCCGATGCGTCAGTTCATACCCTGATGGCTTGCTGGGGAGGGTGGCCAAGTGTCGCTGTGCCGCCAGGTGTTCATCAGCCGAGGCGTCGCGCTGCAGTGTCCCGATGTCCAGCCTGAAGGTGAAGTCTGGGAAGGCGGCCACCTCCCACGGCGGCGCGCTGGCATGCAACCAGGGGGTCGAGTCGCAGGGCGATCCCAGCCGCTCGCCAGGTTTCGTGCTCCACCCCACGCCAGCCCGTCACCGACTTCAGTCGGCTGGGCTGGGCATCTTCCGCGATAGTCCTGAGGGCTTGCCCTCGGGGAGCGCGTGCGCCTTGGCGAAGAGCTTCGCTACCAGCACGTCTCGCCGGGCGGCCAGCGGGCACCGGCATCAGTCCGGACTTCACCATCACTGCGTGGGCTGGGATAAACAAGGGGCAGCCGGTGATATACGGGTCACCGCCTGCATCTCCCTCTGGAGGAGTTCCACGTGGGATTGTGGCGTCACCGGGAGCCAGGTGGCGGCCGCGTGCACCAGCACTCCACGGACGTATCCAGACGCTACAGCGCAGAGCTGTCGTTCCTCTAGTCCCCAGCGCCGCGCTGTCAGCTTGCGAAGCTGCTGGATCCGGGGCGCACTCGGGAGCGGAGACTGCGGCAATGGGCCCCGAAGTGAAGGAGCAGGTTGAGGGGGTGGCTCCGAGTAGTTTGAGACGGTCGGCTGCTGGAACCGACTTTCCGTCGACTTTGATGGCACAGTCCACGGCGTCCGCGGCGCTCTAGGAGACGACGAGCAGCTGCGTATTTCACCCGCTACCAGCATCTTGGACTGTTTTGCCCAGCGCAACACAGCGTACGTCGCCTGCCGCGTCCGGCCCCAGTTCAGTATCGTCTGTTTCCATTAACACTCTGAAATGACAAAATAATTAGCCATTAAAATCAAAGTTCAGCGCTGACGAAGTTTAACCAAACTTGCCATTTCAACATAACACAGTGAGCTGTCAGAATGCTGTTCTTTTGTGCTTTGACACAGTTGCAAAATACCTAGGTACCTGCATACGTATATCATAGAAGTAATTACTGGTTATTATTATTGGAGGATTTTTTTTGCAGCATTCTCAAGTACAATACATTATCTTCTTTAAAAGGACCATAGTGTGAGGTGTAAATACAGTCTGTAAGGTTGTCCAGACTAATTGTGCCCCTATTTGTACGGCCTGGACTGGAGCATGTACTGTTGGCATGTTTGCACGTCCACTTTGGATTAATCTGGCATGCTAAGCGAATGCGATGGCAGCGCCTTGCATTGCTTGCATGCGGTGGTTGGCATTGTTGGGAAGTGTTCTAACTATCTGTTTGTCCCGCTTTGCCCACAGCGTCGACTGGGTTGAATATACTTGTATTTCTGAGTGAACAGTTTCTCACATTTGGAGGCAGCCATTCAACCCAGTCTGGAACCCACTCTTGCTTCCGAAGACGCTTGAGGTGGCAGAATTCCAGCAAGTCAATGAGTTTTTGTGATAGCGTGGATGAAAAAGTTCAAGCACTCTCTTTAAAGTAGCGGCCAAGGAGCCACGGACACAGGACATGGCGTGTGCCCCTGTTAAGCCAGACAGATTTAATGGTTCTGGTGATGTGGAAAGATTCTTGGCCCATTTTGAAGTGGTGTCAAAAGCCAATGAGTGGTCAGAACAAAAGCAGTTCCTGCAGCTCCCTGCCTGCCTGACTGGACCAGCTTTTGATTTTTATCGCCAGTTGCCTGCCATGGAGTGTACTGACATTCACACACTGAAAAAGGCGCTCAAAGCTGAGTATCATACACCAGCTCTCCCTACAGATTATGCCATCATGCTGTCCAAGCGTTCACGCATGCCTGGAGAAACTGTCATGCAGTATGGCGAGGCTTTGAAGAGCCTTGGCAGGAAAGCATATGCTCCCTTCAGTGAAGAACAGTTGGGAACTGTTTGTCGCTCCACATTTCTGAACAATGTTGATGAAGCTATGAGAGTGCAGTTACTACTGACCCTGAAGGAAACAGAAAGTTACAGGGACCTACTGCAAAGAGCTCGACAGCTGGAGCAGGTAATGGGACCTCGTGTATGTCATATTGAGGAACAGTCTCAAGAGCACCGCCTGGAGGATGAGGTATCCAAGCTGTCCCTGGCTGTGGCGAATCTGGAGAAGAAGGTGGATGCACTCCAGGCAGGACGACAGGAAAGGACTCACAGACGTTCACCGCCGGGGCCGTGTCCGAACTGTGGCCTGGAGGGACACTGGCGTAGGGAATGTACCAAGCCCAGTAAGGATCGACAGCAGACAAGTGCTGCAGAGGTTATTTGCTTCAAATGCAATACGCCTGGACATTTTGCTAAGGGTTGCGCGGCCCATTTTCAGTAGGCGCGGCTGGCGGGGGTGGGCGGAGAGTGATTCGTACCTCTGTACGTCCACTTTACCCCGAGTCGGCCGCGCCTTGCAGCTGGAGCGCGGATTACCTGAACGGTGATGTTGTGTCGTCCTCCGTATGGAGGCCGGCCGCGGCGGCCCGCGGCTCGTCGGTGCGTGGATCTTGGAGCCGGCCCGCTCCGGCCGGCGGCTCGTCGGCGCTGGAGTCCAGTAGCGCGCCTGCTGCGGCCGGCGGCTCGTCGGTGCGTGAATCCTGGAGCGCGCTCGCTACGGCCGTCAGCTCGTCGGCGCTGGAACCCTGGAGTCCGCCCGCTGCGGCCGGCGGCTCGTCGGCGTTGGAGTCCAGTGGCGCACCTGCTACGCTCGACTACTCGTCGGCACCAAATCCCCGTGGCGCGCCCGCTGCGGCCGGCGGCTCGTCCGCGCTGGAGTCCAGAAGCGCGCCTGCTGCGCTCGGCTGCTCGTCGGCGCCGGACCCCGGTGGCGCGCCTGCTGCGGCTGGCGGCTCATCGATGCTGGAACCCTGGAGCCCGCCCGCTGCGGCTGGCGGCTCATCGATGCTGGAACCCTGGAGTCCGCCCGCTGCGGCCGGCGGCTCGTCGGCGCTTGAGTCCAGTGGCGCGCCTGCTACGCTCGACTGCTCGTCGGCGCCGGACCCCCGTAGCGCGCCTGCTGCGGCCGGCGGCTCAACGGCGCTGGAGCCTCGGGGCGCGCCTGCCGCGGCCGGCGGCTCGGCGCTGGAACCTCGGGGCCCGCCTGCTGCGCTCGGCTGCTCGTCGGCACCGGACCCCCGTGGCGCGCCCGCTGCGGCCGGCGGCTCGTCGGCGCTGGAGTCCGGTGGCGCACCTGCTACGCTCGACTACTCGTCGGCGCCGGACCCCGGTGGCGCGCCTGCTGCGGCCGGCGGCTCATCGATGCTGGAACCCTGGAGTTCGCCCGCTGCGGCCGGCGGCTCGTCGGCGCTTGAGTCCAGTGGCGCGCCTGCTACGCTCGACTGCTCGTCGGCGCCGGACCCCCGTAGCGAGCCTGCTGCGGCCGGCGGCTCAACGGCGCTGGAGCCTCGGGGCGCGCCTGCCGCGGCCGGCGGCTCGGCGCTGGAACCTCGGGGCCCGCCTGCTGCGCTCGGCTGCTCGTCGGCACCGGACCCCCGTGGCGCGCCTGCTGCGGCCGGCGGCTCATCGGCGCTGGAGTCCAGTAGCGCGCCTGCTGCGCTCGGCCGCTCGTCGGCGCCGGACCCCGGTGGCGCGCCTGCTGCGGCTGGCGGCTCATCGATGCTGGAAC